GAGAGAGAGAGAGAGAGAGAGAGAGAGAGAGAGAGAGAGAGTCCATCAACTTCTTGGCAAACATTCCATTTTTATTGCGGGCGTAGCCGCAACAGGTCCTTTTGTTTAAGATAACACTTTCTCAGGTCTGCTTACGTGAAGTTTACGTCAGTTTGTTTTCAAAATGTTGTTGACGTTTTTGTTTTCTTTTTCTGGTTCTCCATAGTACGAATGTGATCATGAATTTGAGGGAAAAGACTGGGCAGAATGGTGAGGGGAAAATGGAAACGGAGTCAAGAACGTAAATGACAGGGTGCATGTTACTGCGACAAGGACAGAGATCATAGTTCCTGTGATGGTGGTGATGATGATGATGATGATGATGATGATGATGATGATGGTGGTGGCGATGATGAGGATGAGGAAAGGAGCTTGACGATATCGTGCAAGTTAGGCAGAAGCGGCTACAAAAAGGAAAAGAAGGAAGAGGGAGAGAGGTTCTCAAACCACCCCTGTACTTTTGACCCTTCCCTTGCCGAGCCTCAAAATGCACTGCGCCCCCAAAAATAACGAATTGGCGCTGGCCTTCTTTTGGCTGGTGCCACCAGCCATTTTGGTCTGGCTGCCGACCCCTTAAAATTAGCGGCTTGCATATCGCCGTGTGGCAGAAAAATGCCCGTGAAACGTACTGGTCATTAAACGGTGAGCAGAACGATGGAGCAGTCAAGATGGACATGTATATGATAAAAAAGTCGAGGAGGAAGAGGAGGGAGAATGGTGAAGGTTGAGGTTGGGAGGACGGCAACAATGGTGACGGTGGTGGTGGTGGTGATGATGATGATGACTATGATGATGACGAGGAGGAAGAAGAGGAGGGCTCGGTGTTGGCGGAAGGAACATGACAAATGGAAGAGGAGGAGAAGGGGAGAGAGAGAGAGGATGTGAAGAAATCGTCATGTGTTGGGGAAATTTCAAGCCGCACTTCTTTCTTATGTTCTCCGATTTAAAGAGAAGATAAATTTTCATGTTTTTACAGAAATTTTACCCTTTTGTAATTGGAGTTGATTGGATAGGTGAGGAGGAAAATGAGGACGTCAACCAGAGGGATAGGAAACAAGAGCAGGACTGCCATTAGGAACATGACGCGGAGTTGAGTGAATTGGTGGAGTTGTAAAACGGTTACATAGCAGAGAAGAGAGGAAGGAGGAGGAGGATCGACTACGAGGTGGGGAAGACGGGGAAGAATAGAAGGGCAACAGGGTGGACCAGGACAGGAAGGGTGTCTTGAACTCCTCAAGGGTGAACAGAAGTGCACTATTTGGTGTTTCTTGTCCTCATTTGAGCAGCATGAGGACAAGAAGAAAGTGAAAGGAGAGGACAAGAAACACTAAATAGTGCACTTCTGTTGAACCTTAGTTGAGCTCTTGACCTCATGGTTATCAGTTTTAGGTATCTACCATTCAGCCAGGGGGGGTAGGTAAAAAAAAGGCCCGAATTGTCGTGATGGTAGTTGGGTAGCTAGGCGATGAAGTACTAACTGCAGCTTTTTGTGTGTCCAGTACGGATACTTACGATTCAGATGAGGACTCGGCGGTGAGTGATTCTGGCGCATCGGATGTGGACAGTGGGGCTGGCCTGGCTGCTGCCGCTGCATGGGCTGAGGTAAGCACTCTGCGCAGTGAAATCCTCTTATATGAGTTTCCTGTATGTTACTATGCTGGGGAAGAGCACCCACCCTCAATCAGGGCTCATATTCACGCTTGCACCTGGCTGCATTTACGGCTAGATGCAGTCCCGAGGTCCAAGTGTGAATATGACCGTACTTGCTAAAGTGTTTCCACTTGTCTGGAACTTTTTTTTTTCTCCCTGAAACTTGGACCATTTTGCGATTTAGGTGTGTCATCCTTTCGCAGTGGCCATGCTAGTCTTCTCTCTGTCATTCCAATTTTAAGGGCTGTCCTCGAAGGAGTTGTCTGGATTTTCTCTATGGAATGTGAGGTGCTTTTTTTTTTTTTTTAATACTAATGGAAAATTCAAAATCGTTGAAATGCCCCTAAAAGTTGGGGTATTTCGTCAGATAACCCTAAAACACAGGGGTACGATAAAATGCCCTGAACTTCTGCTTTTGCCCCTGTCCTGGCCATGGGCAACTTCGCCATCTGCCCTTGGCCGTGGACTGCAGAGTAAAGGGGTCTAAAGGGGGGTGCCTTTGTGTGATTCTGTTATTTTCTTCTTTATCTCCGATTCTGTGAGGAATTATAATGTGACCCTCAGCCAGAAGTCATTTGTTCTTCAATGCTACACAACATATTTTTTTTTCTGGAATCTTTTGATTTATTTATTTTTTTGCGCTGGGGTTGCCTGAACCCTGCCCGGGGGTCATGCCCGGCCGGGCACCCGGGCATGTACCCGGGCAGAAGTTGGGTGCCCGGACGCCCAGAAAAACAGCCTAACTCTAAAGTTAAAGACTAATTACACGTGGTTAACTGGGGGTGATATTTTTGCCGAGTTTTGCACTGAAACTGTCATATTGGTCAGATTCTTTGCTTTTTTTTTTCTTTTTCTTTTTGTGTGATATGTGTAGCAATGCGGCCAAAATGGCTCTCTATACACTTGGTTAACCAGGGGTGATATTTTTGTCGAATTTCGCACTGAAACTGTCATATTGGTCAGATTATTTGCTTTTTTTTCTTGTTTTCTCTTTGTGTGATATGGGTGGTGATGCGGCAAAAACGGTGAATTTTTGGCCCTCGCAGAGAGATGGTTAACGAAGGTCCAAAAGTTCGCCGTTTTTGCCTAGTCACCACAAGCAACATAGTGGAAAACTTTGGAAACAAACGATATGGGTTTGGGCCTTTTTGTCAGTTTCTCTCTGCTCGTTTTTTTATTTGTTTAGGCCCTTTAGGGCATGGCTGGGCCGGCAACCGGCCGGTTCAGCTTGGCCAGTGCAACTGGAGACGGACCAGCCCCGGGGGGGTGAATCCTAAACCCTAAACCGGCAACGTATATGGTCCCGGTTTAGTCCCTCAAACCGTCGCCTTGGTCTAAAGGACTTATGTAGCTCGTTAGGAGTCCTGCAGGTAGGTAGATGAACACTGCTGCTATTGTAGGCACTTGCTACTTTGGGAAGCATCTCATCCCAGTTTATCTGATCTGGTCTAATATACATTCTAAGTAGCTGTTGCAAGATCTTATTCATCTGCTCTGTCTGGCCATTAGTCTCTGGGTGTCGTCCTGACGACATCAACAACTTAGACCCATAGACTTTCATAAGATCCTGCCAATTCTGACTAGTAAACCGCGTGTCTCTATCACTGACTATGGACAGCGGCATGCCATGCTCGCTTACCCAGAAATCGAAAAACTTACTAATGACTAAGTCTGTACATGCCTCTGAAGGCAGGGGAACAAATACTGCATACTTGCTAAATCTATCCACTATGACCATGACTTGAGTCTTGCCGTGCCTACTACTTTTGAACCCAGTATCCATCCCTACACTATAGAAATTGCTAATCCCGCAGTATGTAACAAATCGCCGATCTGGGCCGTCGTCGCTCCTACCGGCCCATGGCCCAGATCAATTGAGCGATGTAACAAATGTGACATCTGTGCCGTTGGGACCTTTCGGATTGACGGTCCCGACAGCACAGATGTTACAACCGGTTTGGCCTGTTTCCCCAACGGGCAAACCGGTTCCCGTGGGCTGGCCGTGTTACCTCACTGTGCGCAGACCGTTTCGTCACAGTCGCATGTCGCGTAACTGTGAATCGCAGCGGCCAGATCGTGCGAGTTGTCGTCAAGCGCTCTCTCTCTCTCTCTCTCTCTCTCTCTCTCTCTCTCTCTCTCTCTCTCTCTCTCTCTCTCTCTCTCTCTCTCTCTCTCTCTCTCTCTC